AACACAAAGGAAACCCATTTTACCCACGTTCACCGCACGTGAACTTTACTAGTTAACTAAACGAGATCAAGTTCAACTCTCATTAATCAAAAGACAAGTCAATCAAGCTCATAAGCAGCTTCTTTCGTTTAACAGCTCTATTCACAATATTGCATTATTATTATTATTTTTTTAAGCACACAAAGAAATTTCGAAAATAAAATAATAAAAAAATATGAATATATATATATATATATATTTATTAATTACTTGGACACTTTAAAAGGTGCAGATTGCTTCATTTGCTACAGGTTTCATACATTCCCCATACACAATCAAATTGACAATAATTAATAATGATTAAATAAAACCATTGTGTTTGAGTACTTAGAAGGACCTCAAATGGTTTCGTATATGTGCTGATGTGCATAATGTTAATGTGGATTGTTCTATTTGTTTGTGTAATGTAAAAAAGGCATATAATTGACAAAATTACACATATCTCAAATTTTGACTCTGTAATAGCTCAATTACAGCTGCAACCACACCCTTACCTTCAAGAGTAAGTATCGAGCCCTGGATCCTCAATCTTCTTTGTTGGAATCTTGTCGAGCTCCCCACGCAATTTCTGCATAGTTTTGAAAAATAATTTTAGCTTCGACTCAAAGCGTTTTAAGCACTTTTTTCCAGCTAGTTCGAAGTTTTATCTACAGAACTACCAATGAAGTCGAGTATATTGTTATTTACTTAGATAAGAAGCGCGTTACAAATAGTACCGTGCAGATTCGGCCTGATTACAAAGAAACCTAATGAACTTTCAAAGTTACAAAGGGTGCCCCTAGATTTTCTTCTGTCTTAAATATATAACCAAAAAAAAAAAAGAATATTTCAAGTCACCCCACCACATTCACTAAACATTATAGCTTAATTTAACATGGCATCATTTGTAATTTTAAAAAAAAAATTATTGGGAAATTTCTGTAATTATACCAAACCCAGGTTAATATCCCATTTCAAAAAAGTGCAGAATTTTGTAATATAACAGAAATTTGGGAATAGTTCACAAGTGTGCGTGTGCGCGTATGTCAGAGAGCGAGAAAGAGAGAGAGATAGAGAGAGAGAGAGAGAGAGATAGAGAGAGAGAGAGAGAGAGAGAGAAAGATGAAATATACCCGTATCAAGTACAATACAGTCTTTGAAGCAGAAAAGTGAAGATATCCACCGAGCATCTCAATACCATCACCATTTTTGCTCGGAACAAGATTTCCACCAAACATCAGCAGAGCATAATCAGATATATTAGTCGAGTCCCTAATGTATATGCTACTAGTTTTGACCATCTCACTGTAAACCATGAAAGGCAGAGGGAAAAGGTGAACGGCGGCATTCACTTAACCCGGGTTAATCCCAACCTTCCCCAGTTCTTTACTGAAGAGAACTGTTCTCTTTCCTCTCCTTTTGCACTGCACGACTTTAGGATACAGTCCGGCATATAGTATTGTGCATACCATCTCTAAATCATCACTGTATTGGTTATATGCCTGAAAAATCAGGTGAATTATTACATGAATCGTTAACTGAATTTTTTAAACAAACTTTTGCCCACATAAGGAATATAAGTGTAGAAAATGCAAATCTCGAGCGAGCGTTTGAAGTAAAATAGAAGGGGGCTAGTTGTCATTTTGAGTGATGATTGAGGGGTTTTTCGGGGTTTCAATTATTAACTTTCAGATTTCACGAAAACAATTACCAAAGTTGCAAACCTTACTTCAGGGCCGAAGGACTTGTTCACAAAGCCAATCCCTTCCAGTAAATCGAGAAACTGCATCCTCATGTCAGCCATCATCTGCATAGACGCTGGTGAGAGGAAATTCTCCCAGCAAAACGCCTTTTCTCTTCTATTCTGTTTAGCATCTTTCAAATGCTTTAAGAAGTGCAATGTGGTCACTGTTTCAAGTCAAGAAAAGTTCTTAAATCAGCAAAAAAGTGAAAAACACTGTTTCAAACTTTTTTCATAAAGAATTCCCTCAGAGCAATTTTCCTTTTGTTTACTCTTCTTTTTATGATTGTTATGTAACCTCACCTGCACGAATCACCAGCAAAGGCTCTTTTCGCCTCTTCTGCTTCCTCTTTCCAATTTATAGGAAGGACAAATGGTGGCCGGTAGGCAAGTGCAGCAGCTATTGTTAGTGCCGGATTAAGACACTGGAAAATAGATCCCATCAGAAGAATTGTCCTGATATTTGGGTCCAAAGGCTAAGTGCTCAGATGCTGCCCTATCAAGAAAATCACAGTTACTCGCAACAATATTCTCAGATCACCTCAAAAAGTGGCCAATTTTCCTCATTAGAAAAAAGTGGCTAATTTTCCTCTTTAGGAAACTTTAAAAATCTCATGGATATTTATTTTGATAATTCGATAATGGAATATCACACGCACCAAGAGGGGTGAGCTCTTCTTTATCATCAAGAGCACCAATTGTCTTAAGAGATATATGAACCAATGAAATGGCCGACCTTCAGCGTGAACAAAATACCAAATCATTAGAAAAAAAAAAAAATAAAAAATCATATGTTACATACTTAAAAACAGTCTTTAACATTTCAGAATTACAATAATTTTTATAACAAAATTATATTATTAAAGGAAAAAAATAAAAATCGAATGTTGTTTGACAAGTTTCACGAAGTTATCTTTCAGGAAACTAAAATGAAAATAACTAACACCACTTCAGTTTGTTGCATATTCGTCCAGCTGCAATAGAAGCATTCATCACGCTAAACTGAATTGTTAACATTTTTCTCTCAAACTACACTTTCAAACTTTAAATAAATAAAATTTCATGCATTGTTGTATCTTTTATAGTTTTATTTCCTTTAATTTTCTAGTTCTAAATCGACTGTCTACCCTTGTGGCAGGCGTAATGTTTGAAGGCTAATTCTAAAGTGTCAATTATTCATCAACAATATAGAGACATCAAGAAATATACCTATGACGACTCAAAAAGTAAGCAATGGTGAAAGAGGAGGTGAAAAAAACCAATTTATGATTAAATATATGTAAGTGGTTAAGCATTACTGATCATCGAAAAATGGCAGTTGCGACTTCTAATGTGGTCAAGGCTTACCAGCACTATAGGTACTTCAACATCTCCAAGTTCCTCCTCTATGAAGCTTATCTAGGAAAGAGTAAAAGGCGAAGATAAAGGGGAAAAGGAAAAAGGAGCGAGTCGAAAAATCCCACGGACACAACAAGGTTTGAATTGCAGAGAAGAAACTAGAAACTTGTTATAACAAACATGGATAAACCATATTTTAGATATTAGCACATCATTCAACCTCCTACTTCGACAAGAAAAAGGAAAGTATACAAGAAGACCGTTAGAGGACAGAGAACAATGGCCTTATGCGACATCGCTAATTTCTTCATACGTGATGAAGATGACAAAGTCTCATAAATTCATATTGGAATTTATGAAAATTCTCTATCTCCTTCAGGGAGTTCTTTTACCAAAAAATAAAAAATGCTGCAAAAATTTACCTCATGACTTATTTGTTCTTGTAAAGAGAACAACCTCCCAGAGCCCCAGTCCTATCAAAGAAAACAATAGAATATGGAATGAGTTTCCATTTGAGATTACATGGAGATCAGAGTGCAGTAATTCACAAACTCAATGGAACATATGACAGACATTACAAAGGCTTTAAAAACAAGAATCAACTTTTTACAGATAGCACAAGAAAAAGATAACAATAGCAATAATATTGAAGAAAAAAAGTTTCAACATACTACTGGTTCATACCAACTGCTCCAATACAATGAAATCACAGACATTCTCTCTAATTCCAAATAAGTAAGATTGGAAAAAGATAAACACTACACAACCGCAATAACACCAATCGCCTAGTATTCGAACACAAGTCACAAACATTGTCAATGTAGGTGCTTTGCAGATTCAAAAACTGATTCTACACGAAATAAAATATGCTATTATTTGGAAACCTATTGATAGGATACTGTTACGGTGAAACCAACAGCATGCATAAAAAAAACAAAACAAGCTTTTAAAACCAGCACAAATTTCAAAATCTAATTTTTATAGTTAACTTATACTTGGATTTTGAATTTATTATGAAGAAGAATATTGAGATAAATATCTTGAAACTTCAAAAATAATGACTCGGCTTAAAATAACAATGATGAAATAATTATTCTGGAATCTCCCTTCGACAACATATTTGTACACATACTTAGATTTATAGCCTTTGACTTTTCATCTCAAATCCTATACCAAAGAATTGAATTCATGCTATAGGGGCATAGTTACACATTAGCTTTCCTTGTTCTCTGAAATTAAACTCAACTAAAAGTTGGACATAATTACTCAATAGCTTACTTTGGCCACTGAATTAAACACACCTAATGTTTATAATTAAACATAGGAATGTAGAAACTCGCTCTCAACTATAAACAAATATCAACTTTTAAGTTCTGCTCTGATTAACTCATGATAATGAGAGTCCCAAAGTTCATTGATTTTCTGTAACCATTAAGAAAAAACGAAAGAAGATAAATACCTGAAGATCAATATTCCATGAAATTCTTAAGATACAACAAGTAGCAGAGTCACGATAAAAAACAACTTTTAGTTATGCAAACATACTAGTCAGAAACTAGAACTACATTATTTCACACTCAAACAGGTTCCTGGGCTGAATATCTACTATTCTAAAGATTTGCTTTGTTATCAGCTTCTAAGGCGTATATCTACTCTATGGCTAATAATATACTCCAACATACAACTTCACACGACTTCACAGGATAAATAAAGAACAAAAGCAATCAAAACTGATTTGAATATCACGAAAAGAAAAATTCAATGTGACCTTATCCATGAGTTCCCCGACCTGCCACCAGTTCGCACCCACATCAATCGCCCATCTTATCTTCTTCATCTCATATCACCTGAACTGCAGCTTGTCAGGACTTCATAATCCAATTACATCTTTGCCAAGTCAGTTTTGCAGCTTGCCATTAATCTCACGAATCAACAGCTTTGAGTTGTCGACCACCAGTTTGCTCCCATACACAATCTCTCGAAACAGCTCGTGCTTCGGGGCTGGCCTGAACTGCTTCAACTCGATGAGCGGATTAGTGATCACTTTCTGTTCATATATCTCCTTTGCGGGCAGGACGTGCTTCAGCCAGAAATCGCACAATGCAATCTTGAGAAGTTTCCAGTACTCCTCATCTCGATAGATCCTGAACAGGCTACTCCCATTCACTGTCCACACATACATATCCATCCAGTCCCGGTCGAGGATCTCCATCAGACCCTGCGCCTGGGGAATGTAGTGCAGCGGGATCCGCTTCCAAGGCAGGGCTTGTTCCATGTTCCCGCCAAAGAATGGGCACTTAACCTCGAGGACCCCGCACATGGGCAAGTTGTAGTAGAAACTATAATCGATGGCCCCATCTGGGGAGGCCGCCAGCCAGCTGTCGTTTGGGTCCCGCCCCCTGTGAACCTGGAACTCGGGATACGTGACAGCGTTATCGGTTATAAGCTTGTACCTCTCGAGGGCCTCCTCCTCCTTGATGTTGCTCCAGCACGTGGCCAGGTTGCCCATGAACGGTTCGA